GTTCTGAGGGGGCAGGAAGTGGGAGGGAGTGGAAGGGGCAGGGGTGGGGCTAGGGCAGGGGCGGGGCTAGGGCGGGGCTCCTCCCGTCCTCTTTTTTGATTGTTGAAATATGGTAACCCTACACAAACTCCTGACCTTCCCCCCAATATCCCCTCTCCTTTTCTTCCCCCCAATCTCTGTCACTGGCCCCTTCTGCCCACTGAGGGGAGGGAAAGGATTTGACTCAAGGAATCACTCACAGGGTCTGATTGAGCAGGGAGCCGTCCAGCCAGGTCCAGCCCTTCTCCGGAGAGGAGACAGACAGTCCGACCCAGAACAGAGACATGCCTCCTGTCAGGGCCGGTAGGGACTCCTGCAGGGAGTGTGGGACAGGCACCTGGTGATCAGAACATTCTCTTCTTGCATATCCAAGTCTTCATCAACTTCAGCATCTGCTGTCGTGTCTGTCTGGCAATCCTCATATACGCTCCTCTATCCATCCATCCCTCTACATTTCTCTCACTCTCACACACCCAGCCCCTCAGTTCCAGCTGAGCTGTGTTTTGCACACACAGAAGGGGGGGGGCTAACAATAGCTTAAAGCTACCTTTGTCCCCCCAACCCCGATCCTGGAGCTAGTGATTTAGGCTGGGACTGTCAACATTTTCTAGGGGGGTTGGACACACCATTATTAGCAATTAGTAGGAATGGGCGTCCAACCCCCATAGGCAGCTGTGAAGCTCCCAGCCCTAAAGTGTATCTAAGGAGCCCTCTGCACTCTGTATCCAGGGCCCAGCCCTGATGGGGCAGCTCCAGCAGGGTGGTATCGTCCCCTTTACCAGCTCCTCGGGGTCCCGGATCACCAGCAGCTGGGAGCCCCTGGCTGAGCAGTCGGTGCGGCTCTCGCTCCATATTTTATTTTCTCTGGAGACCCAGTAGCACTTGTCCCCGCGCAGCCGCCAGTCCGTGGGGCAGAGTTTGCACCCGGAGCCCCCTGCAGAGAGACAGGTGTCATTAATGCCCTGAGCACTCTGGGCCTCATTCCAGGCTACTCCTGTCTGTGCTTGGGGCAAGGGATGGGGTTAAAATGGTTTAAAATCCCCTTTGTGCTCCCTGAAATCTGGGGCTGGACCTGGTCCTGTCTGCTCCTGGTGTCAGTTAGAGCAGCCTTAGGGCTGCTCTGCCTTATCCAGTGCTCCCATGTGGGCCCTGGGCAGCAGAGACTATCCATAGTGCACTGCACTCTAGCCACACACACCAATCTGCTCCCTACTTTGGGAGTTCGGAACAGGGTGCATGAGGGGCTCTTACCCCAGCTCCACACCAGCGGGTGAGTCCTCCCCAGAGCAGGGGAGATTCTCAGGGGCCTAGGTACCCACTTAAGGCCCCTTTATGCTGCCAAAGTGGCCTAGAAGGGTCTTGGGGTAACTGGGGGGAAGGGATGGTGTTAAACTGGGAACAGGAGGGGAGGCTGGGACCCAGGGGTGATGGTGAATGGGAGGGGACATGGGACTCAGGTGTGGAACAATGGGTAACGGGAGGGGCTGGGACCATAAGACAATCTCTCTAATGAGATGTGACTCCCCACATACACACACACACACTGAAAAAAATTGGCCAGCTTTGTATTACATTGTTATTAAAATCTTCATGGGTGGGTATTACCCTGAACGGCCACTAGATGTCGCTGCCCCAGGCACAGTCCCAGTTGAGGTAGGTACATTCATGGCCTGGCACCGAGCGGGGCTGGTGGCTAGATCGGTGCAGCCAGCAGGGGGCGGCGTGTCCCTGCCCTGCAGGATCCCCAGGGGCTGGGACGGCAGCTGGGTTCCCACTGGCCGTGCCCGGGGCGGAGGGCGGCTCAGAGACACACGAGCTGGGGTTACCTGCTGGGCCGGACGGGGCCGGGGGGCACAGCTGGGATCGGAAATTCTCCAGGCGGGCGCTGCATTCTACTGTGCTGGGGTCTCTGCTCCCGGCTCCGTCGCTCCCTGGGGCTGCCGGGGTCGGTCCCTTCTCAGACACCAAGTGGGAAACTGCAAAGCAGCGTCGGTGGGAGTGAGGGCGACCGGTCAATGTGACGGGGGGTTGTTAGGCAGAAAGCCCATCAGTGTGCTGCAGAGACAGGGCCTGACCCGAAGCCAGTTCAGCCCCATCTGCGCTGACTTCAATAGACTTGGAGCAGCCCCAATGGACCATGGTCCGAAAAATTGGCTGGGATTGAAAATCTGTGGGAGTTTGGTGCCTAAATCCTTTGGGCCCCTTTGTAAACCCAGCCAGTGTTTGAATGTATCTAAGTTTCCCATCCCCCATCACCAGAATGACAGAGTGAGGCAGGGCAGGGCGGTTAACCCCACGGCACAGGTGGGGAAACTGAGGCACAGAGTGCCTTGAGGTGGCAAGGAACAGCTTTGGTTCCAGGATGAGGATGGACCACCTGAGCTGCCCTCTTGGACTGCAAGTTCACTACAGTGTAGCCCTCCTGGTCCAGTGAGAGCAGTCGCCAGGAGCCGTGTGGGCTGGGGTGTGAGATCGCACAGGAAGCTGAGATGCTGGGCTGCAGCCCTGTGGACGTCTGGGCAGCAGTTAGAGCATCCGGTGTCAGGGGCTCTTTGCTGCTACAGAAGTTGGTTCAGTTACGAAAGCGCTCCCAGCCCCTGATGGGCGCCCCTCCCCCTTCAATGCTGCCACCCTGATACCAAGGTGAGGGGCGCAGCCTGTCTGATGAGGGGCTTATCTGGCCCCTGTCACTTCCTGTCTGTGTCCCTCACCCACGTTCCCTGTGATGCAGGGGAGGAGCATGGAGACAGATTATTTGAATTTTCAGAATTTAGAGGGTTTTTTTTTAATTTTGAAAAGAGGGTGCCAAGGGTTTTTTTATATATCTATATAAAATTTTCCCTAATGTTTATCCTGTTCTAGTGTATCTCTGGATCTATCTTCACTCACACACACCCTGTCTATACCCTCACATACTTATTAATCTATCTATATACTGGGAATACTGGGAATTGGTCCTGCTTTGAGCAGGGGGTTGGACTAGATGACCTCTTGAGGTCCTTTCCAACTCTGATATTCTATGATTCTATGATTCTATGATATACACATGCACACTATGTATTTATTCTCTCACACACTCATCAATATATCTATACACACACGTACCCTGTTTCTCTCTCTCTCTCTCTCTCTCTTTATGTTTCAGTCAAGCTGTCAGCAACTTCAGGCTGTCTACAATGGAAGTGAACTCTGCAATGGGAGAGCAGAAGAACCCAGGCTACACACTTACGCAAATACACAAATAAGCCCCTAGCTTTTGGCACTTACCCCAAATCCCCAGCGCTACGACAACTGCCAGCAAAGCGATGATCACAACCCACACAACCCACTGAGCGAGTCGGTGCCATCGTGGGGGCTGAGGAGGACCTGGAGGAGTTGACGTTTGGTAAAACACAATCAGAATCGAGCACAGGGCTAATTATTATTTGAAAAGGCAACACGGCTCCAGGCTTCCAGTGAGGCCAGGCACTCGTCTGACTCGCTTTTCTCCCCTGACAGTCAGATTGAGAGTGGGTCAAAGTTTTTCATCCATACATTTTTCAATTACATTTTGCTACTTTTTTCTTTAACTGGGAACTTGTGTGAAAACAGGTTGATTTCGCGCCAACTGTTCCAGTTTTCGGTCCTTTTTTTGTTATGAAAACACCTTTTTGTGGTTCTATTGGTCATGGTGGTGACCCATTTCTACTTATAATTTCCTTTTCCATTTCCAAAGCCTGCGGGTATTTTCTTTGCCCGGTTGGACTGGGCAGCTCAGGGACACGAGGGTCTTTTTCAGCACTGAAAACCTTTGTTTCTTCTTCGAGTGATTGCTCATGTGTATTCCACAGTAGGTGTGCGTGCTCACCACATGCACCGGTCCCACAAGTTTTTGCCCTAGCAGTACCCGTAGGGGGAGCACCCCTACGAGCCCTGGAGTGGCCCCTCCATGGCACAGTATAAGGGGAGCTGTGTGCTCCCCCACCCTCAGTTCCTTCTTGCCAGACAACTCTGACAGAGGGGAAGTAGGGAATGTGGAATAGACATGAGCAACACATCTCGAAGAATGCCAGTTATGGAAAAGGTAACTGTCTTTTCCTGATGTTTTATGCTCTTGGAAATGAAAAAAGTTGGGCTGGGAAGTGGCAGTTTTTAAAAATGGAAAAAACATTTCCTCCAAAAATTTCAACCCCCAACCAGAGGAACGTCCCCGCCCAGCTCAAGGAGCCAGTGCGCCCAGCAGGGTTCGCTCCTGGGGCCAGACAGAGTCGCTCCCGCCCCTGCAGGCAGGGCCGGCTCCAGGCACCAGCCTTCCAAGCATGTGCTTGGAGCAGCACCTGGAGTGGGGCAGCGCTCAGGGCCGAGAGCGGGGCCGCGACTGGTCTCACTGCTCTCTCCCGGCGCTCCGGCCGACCGGGGAGAGCTGGGCCGCGGCCGGGCTCAGCGTCCTCCCCTCCCGCGCTCCCCACCGGAGGGAGGGGGGCGGCGGGAGGCTTTTTTGCCTGGGGCAGCAAAAAAGCCAGAGCCGGCCCTGCCTGCGGGATCAGGAGTGAAATTCTACAGCCCGGGGGTGCAAGAAACCAGGCGAAACCCTGTGTCCTGTGCCTGGATCTGGGATGGGAGGGGAGTCTAGTGGTTAGAGCAGGGAGGGCTGGGAGCCAGGACTCCTGGGTTCTCTCCCCAGCGAGGGGAGCGGTGGCTGTTGCTTTCCCCTGGCACAGCAGCAGGCAATTCACTCCATGGCGGGGGAAACGGTCCCGTCTCCCTGAACGTTCGGTGCCGCCCTCAGACCGTTAACGGCCGCTCTGCGCGCGCGCTTAACTCCGCGCCGCGCCCTCGGGGAAAAGCGCGCACAGGCTGCTCACCCGGGGCTGGGGGCTTCGACTGAGGCGCTGGCTGGTGGCATCGCCGCCCCCTCCCCATGGCCGGGTCCTGCCCCTGTGGTGGCTCCTCCTACCTCCTTCCCCCAGTGAGACCCGGGTAGGTGCCGGCGCCCCCTCAGGCCGGGGGGAGCGGGGAGCGGGTTTGGCGCTTCCCATGGCACCGCCACAGGTCGGGCGCTGGGCAGGCAGAGCATTGGGTTAGACCAGAGGGGGTTGGGGGGTGCCTGGCTGTGCGGGAGGGGTGGGGTGCATTGGATGGGGCAGGTGGTGCCTGGCTGTGCGGGAGGGGTGGGGTGCATTGGATTGGGGTAGGGGGGTGCCTGGCTGTGGGGGAGGGGTGGGGTGCATTGGATTGGGGTGGTGGGTCCCTGGCTGTGGGAGAGGGGTGGGATGCATTGGGTGGGGCAGGGGGGTGCCTGGTTCTGCGGTGGGGGGTGCATTGGGTTAGAGCTGGGAACTGGGTGTTAGAAGTGGCTTCTCTCCCCTCCCATTGGTGGGAAGTGGGGACTGTTGGTTAGATCTGGGGGTCGAGACGTGGGGGTTCCAGTCTCAGCTCCGTGAGGACTGTGGGATCTGGCGCTTGGCGGGGCAGGCAGGGGAGAGGAAGGGATTCTGGGAAACAGGATTCCTGGGTTCTTTTCCTAGCTGTGCCAGTGATTTGCTGCATGTCCGCGGGCAAGACACTCCCCCCATCTGGGCCTCAATTTTCCCGTTGTTCCCACCTTGGAGATCCTGGGATGCAAAGCTCCCGTAGGGCTCTCAGTCGTGTGCGCGGATGCTGAAGGCTCAGGCCCCGTATCTTTCCCTGCTGTGTGCACAGCTAATCCAGCCCTGGTCCAATCCAGATTCTACCCCAGCCCCGGCCATGCTGTGTGCCCTCCCTGCTGCTGGGATGTGGAGCCCGAAGGTGAGAAGCGGGATTTGAAATCAATACCTTGGATCCTGTCTGGGGAAGGGACCACTGAGCTTCTCTCCTTGGGCCGCAGATTCAGCATCGTGTAGCCCTCCTCGTCCTCCATCAGCGCGGGTATTGTTGCTCAGAGAGAGGAGGCAGAGACAATGCAGCAAGGAGCCTTTCAGAGCCCCGTGGAGAGGGGGTGTTAGACCGCACAGGAAACTGAGATGCTGGCCTGCAGCCTTGTGGGCGACAGGTTGATGGTCAGAGTCTCCGGCCTGAGGGACTCTTTGCTGCTGCAGAAGGTGCCTCAAGTCACGTAAGGACTCATCCCAGCCAGCGACAGGTGCGGCCTACAGCCACCCTGATACCAGGGTGAGGGGCACAGTCTGTCGGTGTAGGGGCTTTAGCCAGCCCCTGTCATTGTAGCATCTGCGTGCCAATGTTGAAACTGTCATGTTTTGATGAAAAAGGTGCATGCCTCAGTTTCCCCCACTGGCTTCGAAGGGGTTCAATTTCCCTTTGGGGCATAGAGGCAGTGGACCTGTGTGGGTCCGTAGCAATGCACTGTCCAGAACTTTCCCCATATGGATGGAGAGCCAATGGAAGAGTCAACAGTTAGCTCAACGACTGACAGCCCAATCAATCAGCACAGACAGAAAGCAAGACATCTGAGGTGTCTGCTCCTGGAAATACAGACGGGGCTGCCCAGCGTGGAGAGAGCTGAAGCCCAGGCAGGCTTGGGGCAGGTGACACCGAGCTGAGCTTGGCTTTCTCACACTAACCTAATGGCCCTCAAACGCTGTGTCCCAGCTGGCTCATCCGTGTCAACTTGGTTTGGAAAGGTGGCTGCATCGCTCCCTCAAGGGGTGAAGTCTTCACCAGGCATCTGAACTCACTGGATCCACTGGGGAGCCACAGTGCAAATGTGGGGGTCCTGGATTCCCAAGGCCCAGTGTTGGAGTCACGGGGCTGTGCGGCTTGCCCAGGGGAAAGTGAAGCACAATAAAGGGGGCACTTCCAGAGAGACTGGGAAAACTTGCAGAGCACAGCCTGTAAACCTGTGACAGCCTCCCAGATGGTAACATACTGAGGGAGAGCTCAGCCCCCCCACATGGTGAAACTGAGGCACGGAGTGATGAAGTGACTTGCCCAAGGCCACATAAGTCAGAAGCAGAGCCAGGTCTCAAGGCCTAGTCCACAAGGACAGCCTCTTTTTTTCCTTAGGATTACTTTGGATCTCCTTCTCCAGTAATTCCCCCCAATAGATCAATCCCCCGTTGCACAGGAAACCTACAGCTATGAAGGTCATTGCTCTGGAATGTTTTATAATTGCCCCCCTTCCAGTCAGTCAGATCTATCCTTCTGTGCACAAATCAGGAGCCAGATGGATTTTTCACGTGCCTTTTATTTATTCACACATGCTACTGCAATAGCACAGCTGGATGGGGCATGTGGGGCTTGAACCCACGACCTCTGGATCTAAAACACAGATCCTCAGTGCTTGAGCGATACAGCTAGGTCTGTTAGTGGGTTTGGCTATGTTTCTAAGAGGGAGCTAAAGCATGTTAGCACAGGTTGCATTATGAAGCAAGCTGTCGATTTTGCAAGAAGCACCCGACTGAACGTTTACAGATGTAGCTGGGCAGAAAATAGGTTTGATTTCCATTGAAAATTTGTATTTGCCCCAAAGCCATGAACCAAAAACTTTTCAGTTGCAAAAAACTGAAAAGGTTCAGCCCAAACCCAACAATTGTTCAGTCCCAAACTGATGAAAACTGACGCATTTGGGGATTGTTTAAGTGACAGTTTTTCAATAGCTCAGATTCCCAATGAAAATTCACATTTTTTGAGAAAACCGACTCTTTCTGCATAGGGCTGGTAGAAACTGATCCCTCAAGACTGGTTTTTCGATGGAAACTTGGTTTTGCCATTTAACCAAATTTCCTTGAAAAGTATTGGGCTTAACATGGAAAATTTGAAGTTTTCTTTAAAAACATCCCCAAAAGGCCCAGTGTGACAGGGTTCCTGGAGTGCAGCCAAGACTGTGGGACCCCTGAGGGTATCCCTCTCACGCTGTGATGATGTTGCCGTGCCACAAACCTCTGGCAGGTACTGCACTGACACGGACATCCACAGGCAGGGACACCCAACTGAGTTACATGGGTGATCTCCCAGCCACTCATGAACCAACAATAGGGAAGCTCCAGCCAATTCCCTCCAGCCTTGCACCCCAGAACTGTACTGTCTTGCCCTGGTCAGAAGCCTGGTCAGTGTAAGTTCATTACCCAGTGCACCGCTCCCTCGATGTAGAGCGGACACACACTAGCCTTTGTAACCCGAGCTGATATTTCCCGCGCACGTCCGCTAAAACGCACTATTTTAGGTTAAATAGAAAACCGATTTATTAACTACAGAAAGATCAATTTTAGATGATTCTAAGTAGCAAGTGTAGAGATTACAGTTGGTTATCTAAGAAACAAAAATAAATGTGTTGTCTGAGTTCTACAAACGAAACATGATTTGAATCAAGCAGTATCTCACCCTGACGGATGGTAGAAACAGGTCACAGATCTTCAATATAGATAGAGGCTGGAACTGCCTTCCAGCCTGGGACCACCCTCCCTCGGTTTAAGGCTTTGTCCTCCAGACGTGGTTCCAGGTGTTGAGTTGTGGGGGCAGTGAGGCCAAGTCATGATGTCACTTCACCTCTTTTATAGTTTCTTCCAGCTTGCTGGAAAAATCTATGCTTGTAACATGGAGGTCCGCCCCCACTGGTCAAGCAATCTCCATTGTCTACATGCTGTCTCTGAGAAGTCTTCTGGGATGGTTGTGGGAGAATGGATTCCCTTTAATGGGCCACCGACACATCTGGCTACTCCATTGTTATACCTGAAAGACTGTTCGTAGGTGTTCCCAACCTCACGACATATTACAATAACACACACACAGCAAAGCTTCATAACTTCACATACAATCCAACAGGATATTAATGTTGAACAGATCAAGTCTTTGAAAATGATACCTCACAAGGCATACTTTGTAAAAAACGTATTGTAATTGTATGACAATGGTGAATATGGGGATTCCAGGGTACTACTTTGAGGTAGAGGGTACCACACCCAACAACCATAAAAGTTTGAGTCTGAAGTGGCCCCACGGGAGTTCTAGTTCAGTAGCTTCATGTCCTCATGCTCGGGACTGGATTTAAGGGCATGCGATCCAGGAGAACTCCTGTGGTGCCTGGCTTGGGGGGCTGTTTTTGGTGTTAGCGACAAAAAGGAAAATAGAATGTTTGAAATAAAATGATTCAGGGATTCCATATGTGGATTCATTTTTCACTAACCTCCTAGAATGTTCTGGACCTTTGCAGAATCTCGTGGAACCTCGGAAAGGTGAGTCTGGAAGAGGGGTTTTGGTGGAGATCGGAGATCTCTGTCTAGGATTTCTTAGCTGTTTGACACTATCAGGTTTTGACTCTGAGGACTTTATCTTTGGACCTAGAAGATTTGTGTGTGTCTTAGTCAATGAGCCTGGACAAGGATGTGATTGAAATGGGATCAAGACCCTAAGGAGGGGGGAAACCGAGGCAGGGTGCTGCAATGCCAGGCCTGGCCAGAAGGGGGCATTCTGGGTGGTGAGTCTTAGGAGAGGGTGATTAACCAGGGGAACCAACTGCTGGGGTGGGGAGGGAGTTTCCTTCTCTTGGGGTCTGCAGATGGAGTCTGGAGACCTGTCTGGGTTAGTCAAACACAAACTGTTCAGCTCCATACAGGAGTAGCTGTGTGAAACTGAATGGCCTGGGCTACACAGGAGGCCAGACTAGATGATCTAATTGGCCCTTCTGGCCTTAAACCTCTATGGATCTGGGAACCAGAAGGCGAATCAAAAGACCCCACCAGTTTATTTTAATAATCTCATGATTTTTGGGCCCTGACTTATGATTTTTCAGCACTTGGGATCAGCAATGCTGGATTTAACTGCCTGGGCCTCTCCACTCATTCCTTTACATCAACCTGAGAGGCAGTGGGGTCTAGTGGCACTTGGGGGATGACAGGTGCCGCAGGGAGGGAGGTAGAGGGAGGTATCCGCCCGGGGACTCCCCTGTGCTGGAGTCATGCCCAGCCGAGCATTGTGGAATCACTTCCACTCCAGTCTTGCAAGGGAAGAATCCGCCCTGACTGCTGCTCCTGCGCCCTTGGCTTTAACAATAGGTTTGTCCCTTGGAATGAAATGTGCAGACACTGCCGGGCTGGTGTATTTCAGACCCAGGGGACGGGGGGAATCAGGGCTGTGTCAGTCTGAGCTGCCTGGTGAATGTCTAACCCTTCTCTGAATACCTGAGCACCTCGCCCCAGCAATTTAAATGAGCACAGCTTCCTTCTGGCAAATCCATTTATAGTCTGTGCAGATGTCAGACTGGATCTGATTCTTCTTGACTGCAGCACAGCTGTTCTCTTCAGCAGGACCCGATACCATGAATCTAAGGAGCGAAGGGGACAGTCACTGTCTATGTTTAGAATTACAAGGGGGATCTAGCGCAGCTGTTCTTCTTCCTCAAAGGATTCTGTGTTACTATTTACTCTTGTATCTCTAGAATGAGATTCCAGGATTATCACCTGTCTGTGTGTCGTTCTGGAGCTGAGAAAGTCTGTGGAGTCGGTGTGAAGGGAGGGAGACTCCTACAAGCGAGGCCGAGAGCTCTTTTTGTTCAGAATATCACTAGGGTGAATCATCACTGAGACTTGCAGTCTGTTACCATCCAATTTCTAACTTCACAGTCCATTTCTAATTTTTTAATGCTTTATGACTTACAGCTTACAACGCCACTGACTTTCACCTAGTTACCACTCTGTTTTTCCTAGCTCGTCACCAGCTCTAATGATTCTGTTCTGAAAAACCTGGGGGGGGGGGGAAGTTGATGGAAAATGGCTTTTTTGAAAATTCCTGTTTTCTTTAAGTCCTGGTTTTTCAAAACGTGCTGGGTGTTTGTCAAAAAAACCCAAATCCCTGCCACAAATGGATGTTTTTTCTCTTGTTCAACAAAACAAAAAAAGAAAAAAAAACCCACCCCAAACCCCTCAAAATTTCAAAGAAAACTTTTGACAAAAATGGAAAATAATTATTTTCATCTAAACTATTTTTGGGGAGGAAAAAGAAAAATCCCAGCCAGCTCCAACGCTCCTGTAGGTGACATGGTTTGACGGTTTAAGGCCAGTTGGGATCCTAGGGCTAGATTGATGCAATCTGAGGCTATCGACATACCAAGACATGGGGCCTCCTCTAAACCCGCCTCAGCACTCTGGCCCTGGCCCATCCACCTCCTGGCTCAGAGCGTCAGCAGAGGTCTCCTTCCCCTACCTGTGGTTTGAGTCTAGGGCTGGGAATAAGACGCTCCCTGGAAAGAGGGCGTCTTTTCCGACTCTGTATCAAGGAAGTGAAGTTTTGCATCTAGATACAACTCAGTCTGTCGTCACCCCTCTGCAGTGATGCAGAATTCCAGGGCCTTGTTGGGTGGCTTTTGTTGGGGGGATCGTTCTGTGGGGGCAGGTTATCCCATACCTGACTGTTACAGGGTGTCTTGAAAAAAGCAACAGAGGGTCCTGTGGCACCTTTGAGACTAACAGAAGTACTGGGAGCATAAGCTTTCGTGGGTAAGAACCTCACTTCTTCAGATGCAAGGGTGTCTTGACTCTTTCTCTGAAGTGGCTGTCCATGGAAACCAAAGACTGGGCTGGAGACAGACCCCTTGTCCTATCCTACATTATTGCAGATTTACTCAAAGTACGGAGCGTCAGGGATCACTCACAGTGTTTGATTGAACAGGGATCCATCCACCCAGGTCCACTTCCTCCCTGGGGATGTGTTGTAAAGTCCAATCCACACACTACTTTGATACTGTATCATATTCTGTATGAGCTCCTGTGACATGGATGACATGTCAGAGTGAACAGCACACGGGAGAATTGTCTGGCTCCTTTGCTCATTACACCAACGAGATTGAGGGCCAAATTCTCCAAAGAGCTCAGCACCGATTGCAGCACCTAAAGGAACGTTGCTGGCTTTTCAAAGTGTTCAGTACCCAGCAGCCCCCGTTGTTCCCAGTGACAGGGTGGGGACATAGGAATAAATTTCTATTGTCTCAATGGGAGCTGCTCGCCAATGAACTTAAACTGCAGCCACGTGAGAAGGTCTGTGCAGTGCGATATGGACCTTTAGCACGGCCGGGAGACCCAGGGCAGCAATTGTAAGCCCAGGTTTGCAGTGCAGTGCGGATGCTCACGCGTGTGAGCTCAGACGAAAGTGTCCACAAACCCGGGTCCCACAGAACTGGGTTTACAATGCAGTGTAGACGGACCCTTAGTGATTCGTTGGCACCATCCCAGGCCAGGTGTAGTTGCCAGTGGGTTGGTGATGAGGCCAGCGGATACCAGTGAGAGGAGAATTCTAATCCGGTGGCATTTTATATCCCACTAGGCAGGTGGCCGAGATGTTACAAGGTGCTGGGCAGGGGAGAATCCGAGTCTCTGTATGAGCACAGGAGACTCTTATCGGGAAACTGCTGCATTTTCTGTCTCCCGGATTCCTGCCCTTGTAGCATTTTATGACACACAATGGGACTATCGGGCAATTCCCAGCTGGCTGAAGTAGCCATTACCCCCCTCCGCAATTACTCCACGGCTCTGCTAATACCCGAGAGGAGCTGTGAGAGGAGGGGGCTGTTTGTTTAGCTGCCTTTTATTGGTTCGTTGATGTAGCTGTTCGTTTATTGCCAAACTGATTGAAATGACATTTCCTTTCCACTAGGGGGCAGATGCTGTCAAGTCTGTTTTGCAGCGGCTCTTGTTCTGTTCCCCCAAACGCTGGATCTGAACCATTTCCCCCTCTGCGTCTGTCAGGGCTGATTCCCCACTCTGGCACTTCGAGTGCAGAAGGTGGGGCCTGCAAGGATTCTAAAAATTAATACTGGCCACTCCCAGGGTTGCAGCTTTTCTTCTCTGACGTTGAATGGGTAGATGCTGCCACCACCCAAGTGCAGAACCCCTTTGAGAGCCCAGGAAGGTGCACTTGGGAATTCCTTCCTGTGGGGTACCCTCAAACCCTTTCACCCCCCTCTGGGGAAGAGCTGAGAAAGAAAACAAAGGAAATCAGCTGTTGCCACCAGCTAATTAAACAACATGCACAAACCTCTTAGGACACAAAAATCCAATTCTGTTCTTAAAAAAGGTAAATTTCATTAATAAAAAAAAGAGAGAAAATATATCTGGGAACTCAGGTTATTGCTAGGTTTTAAAAAAAACAGCTGCAAGGATTAAGCACCAAGAATAGTTTTCTTGAGGTCCAGCTTAAAGGTTACAAGCAAAACAAAAGCACCTGGGGTTAGCACAGAGGAATCCACAAGCCATAAAGAAATAAAAGGGATAAACATAATCAGTCTGCCAAGGCTTGGAAGGAGGCTTTGGGGAAGGGGCGGGGCGGGGGCTTTGGGAAAGGGGTGGATTGGGGTCGGGGCAGGGGCAGAGCAGGGGTGGGGCTGGAGCGGAACAGGGGCGGGGGCCCTGGGGAAGAGTAGGGGCAGGGGTTGGAGCAGCACACAGCTGCGCAGGGCACCAGGAAATTTGGTACCCCAAAATTCCTGGTGCCCTACACAGCTGTGTACTTTGCGTATGGGTAAGGACGGCCCTGAGCCAGAATAACCCGACAATTCTCTCCACAGGCAAACCCTCGAACCCAGACCCCGCGTTAACACCAGTGCAAAGAAACAGAAGAAGGACGATTCAGTGACCTGGAGTTGATTTGGTCAGAGCCTGCTAAGGCCTGGTTGACCCTGGGGATAAAAGCCGTGTCAAGGGGAGCTTTGAAACAGTTCATTCGAACACAACCCAGACCCAGCCTGGCTGGTCGAGGTATTCGGGCAAAACTCACAATCCAATTATATCTGAAAGGTGTTTTCACTGATCACCCCACGTAGCCAAACCGCGCCTGAGCTGTAATCGAGTGAGCTGCTTTGAAACTGTCCTTACGAAGGGCTCTGCTGGCACCGCCAGACACACTGTGAACAGGGCCGTAGTTATCGCTGGCTGCAGAAAGGTGGTTCAGGTGAACAACTTTCCCGTTTCCGAGTCCATGACGTTTTCGGAGAGAGCACCAATGGAGAATGGGTCGTGTCCTGCTGAGAAGCCAGATCCAGGTTCCCAGGAAACCCAAATGAAACAAAATGGAACAACTCATGTCATGCCTTTATCGCCCTCTAGTGGCTGGTCCATGTAAAAGACACAAGTCAGCCGCAGCCTTCAATGTACTGCAGCCTTCAGCTGTGTCTTTCCATCCAGAGGTCCCTGCTCAGTCCCTGCACATTCACCCCACTTCCTCCGTCAGTGCTAGACAGGCTGGTCAACTTCCATCAACGCCTTCTGGGTGGAAAATGCTTTTTTCAACAAGACAATTTTTCCCCACAATTTTTTTGTTCAGAAGTTTTCAGGGTTTCAAATGGAAACAATGCCAGTCTTCATTCCAGATGGACACATTCTTGGGGGGTGGGGGGAGGGTTTTTTTCTGTTTCAAAATAAGAGAAGAATCAATTTTTGATTTAAAATGTCGGGGTCTCCTCTCCCCATTCTCTCCCTTCTTAAATAAATACTTTCACTGGAAACATTTTCAAGGGGCCGGGAAAATCTGTGAAAACCTCAAATTGAAACCCCTGTTTTTTCTGATTTTTTTTTTCCAGAAAAGTTGAAAATATTTTTCAGCCCCAATTGGAATGAAAATGTTCACTCCATTCACTCTAAATGTGTCTCTCTATTTGCGAAATATCTCATTTTCAAACGAGCTCCAGCTGATGCCGTTAATCAGTGTAGGGCCCCGTCCTCCCCGCCATAGCAGCAGCGTGAGCATGACTGGCTGTTTCTGTTACAGGTTTGCTGTCTGGGTTGGAACCACGGGCGCATCGCTGGGCAGTTCAGAGTGTGGGTCTCAATCTCATACTGATCATCACCGTCATCATCTTCATCATCGCTGTGTCAGGTGAGTGTGGAGCCCGCACTGACCCCGTCTCTGCACCTTACACTCAGTGCTGGAAACGTCACAATCCCCCCCAACTTCTTCCCCCTTCCCCCACAGCCCACCCCTGCTTCAACAGTCACATCAGACTCTGCTGAGCCCGGGGCGTTTCTGTGGGGTCTCCCCCGCCCCCAGTGTCCAGCTCCCACTGGCCGTTGGCTCGCTCTGCCCTGTCACCCCAACACACCTGGTTACCCAGGGCCGTGAGTCACCATGTTACCCCCCTGCCTGCAGCGGGGGGAGCTTCTGTTTCCCAGTTAGTGCAATTACATTAATGCAGCATCAAAGGCGGGTCCATTTCCATGTTTAGATCTTGCCCTTGGCAAAGGTTAACACCCCCCCAGTGACATTAACTGCCCTGCATTGCACATGGCTGGGATCTGAGAGTGCTGAGCTGTCTGCAGACGGGCATAGAAAATATTGGGGTGGGGACGCAGGAGCCCAGGGGCCTGATTCCTCTCTGCCCTGCAGCTTGTACAGGGTCACTCAGACCAGTGCAGACAGAACATAAAACTCCTGTGGTGTCTGTATGGCAGCATCTGATCCCCACTTTGCCCGAGTGCAGATGACTGACTGCACGAGGGAAGGATGGATTCAGTCCTAGACGGTTCTGCAGTGGGGAGGGAGACATCTTGGATGGAGAAAGGGGGAGAGTGGAGCAGCCTGAAAACTTGAGAATCTTCTAAATGGGGGTTATTTGAATGTGGAATCATCCAGTCTGTGAATTGCGCCGTCAATCCGATTGTCTGAGTGCCAGAGCTCCCAGACATAGTACGATTGTACAGAACATGCAAGGTCTGAAGTAGGGGAGGGGGCAGGGGTGTATCAGAGTCTGTGATATGAGCAGGGCCCTTCGCCCCTGCCGCCTTGTCAGGTGGCATAGGGAGCTCAGGATTTGTGGCTGTTTTTCAGGTGGGCTGTGGTCCCTGCAAATTCAACATTCACCCTCTGTGTCAACCAGGTGGCCCCCTGGGACACAGGTACCCTTCCCACCCTTAGCCCCAGCTGCCCCCGGAGAGCCACAGGGCTTTGGGAAATAATCTATATACTGATCATCCGCAGTAATTCTCCCATTGATGTAAGTGGGCAGTGGGATGGGCCCCCCCCGGGGTGCAGCCTGGAACTGGGGTACCACTGAGCCCTCGGACTGACCAGCCTGGGATCTTCTCACACTGCGCAGCTGTGACAAGCGACAGCCGCCCTCGGCCCTGCACTTAGACACCCACCGGCAGGGATGCCCCCAGCTGCAGGTACATGACTGCTTCTCCTCGGCCACTCGAGACCTGACACTAGAGAGAGGCTGCAGCCGGAATACGCCCAGCCCCAGCCTAGGACCCCGGAGCTGAACCATCCTGCCCTGCTCAAACGCCTGAGCAGTCTCTGAGTTATTGCCGAGGGCCCTGCCCTGCCGGTCAGATACCGAAGTGCCTGATGTGCAGGTGCAATCAGGTGTCTCGCTGGCAGCGTCTGCAGGTAACTGCAGGGGGCAAAGCCGGGGCCCCAGCAAAGGAGCCCAGGGCTGGAAACGTGGCCCCGAATTCACAGCTCGCATCGCTGTGGGGAGCTGGTGGGTGGCGCTGGCCTCTCCCTGTTGTGAAGGGGAACGTGTCTAGGCACAAGCGCAGCTTCCCATGGTGTGGAGGGGGTGCGGAGTTCCATGGTGTGGTGTCACTGGGGCTTGTTGCCGTGGCTACAGAGGGAGACAGACAAATCTGTCACCCAGTTACTTTCTCATCTCCAGCAAAGAAATCTGAGCTGTCTCCAGCTGGTGCTGCCTGCCCAGTGGCCGCCTGCCCAGACGGCTGGGTCGGGTACCTGGGGAAGTGTTACTATTTCTCACAGGCTGAAGGGAACTGGACCTACAGCCGGAGCCACTGCTCTGCCCTCGGCGCCTCCCTGGCCGTGATTGGCACCCAGCAGGAAATGGTGAGACCCAGATTCTGGGCTGCACAGGGTGGGGGTGGCAAAGGCGACTTTATGCTGGGCTTGTCCTGGGGCTGGCAGGGCCCCAGATGCTGTTTGAATTTAGGGCAACTTCTCACATCCCAGAATAGCCAGAGTGCAGAGCGCTCCACCCACTCTCCATCCTCCCTGGTCACTGGGGGTTGAGTCGGAGCAGTGTGGAGCTAATACGCCGACCCTCTGCTCCAGGGGAATTCCCAGCAGGGGAATCCAGTTACTTTCCAGCCCCTTTAATGGGCCAGGAGCAGCATTGCCAACCCAAGTGCTCAAAAATCATGGATTGGGACCCCCCAAACCATGAGATTGACTTTAAAATAACAGCTTTCAAGGCTTTTAATTTGTTTTCTGGTGTCGTAGCTTTTATGGGTCACATTTGCAAGTTTTTCTCTGCAACCATAAGGTCTAGAAACTTCTGAAAGATGAGAGTCTCTTGTAATCACCTGACTCCAGGAGCTGGGGTCTTAAGAAAAGCACCAAACAGCATGAGACTCTCAGTAAAATCGTGGGATTTGGTAAGAATGCAGGAGTGGTAAAGGTCTGGAATGTGGCTGAGAAGCTGAGCCAGGTAGCTGCTAAATCAGAATTGAGATGGGAAATTCTGATATTTTCACATTTGTGTCTGTCATGAATCAGGACAAGAAGTTGAAATATACAAACTTTTTATTTTCCATTCAGTTCCAGAAATGTGTGAAAATATCTAATTTCCAAATTTGATCAAACCAATTTCTTTCATCATTCACATAGCAAAGCAGTTTGGTTTGTCAAACCAAAGCAGAACATTTTGTTTCAGCATGGTTCAACGTTGAACACCACCTGTGGCTCCTCGTGGGAGTTGTAGTTTGGGGCCTTCTGCCCCCTTCTGTGTGCTGAGATCCTGGGTTGGACTACATCTCCCATGATGCCCAGCAGTGGCTCAGCCAATAGGGAAACCATGGTGCATTATAGGAGATGTAGTCTGGGGGAACCCAACCCAGAACGGAGGTGTGAGGCCCAAACTATAACCCCCATGAGGCACCTTGGTAACTCAGCTGGCTACAGATTAATGTCAAACTGACCCTAAACAAAATCATTGCTCAATGGAAAATATAAACTTCTCAGTGAAATCAAAATTAAACTTAGGAAAAAATCATCTTTGTAGGAAACACATTTTCTGTCACAGAAATATTTTGATGAAAAATCTTCAGCCAGCTCTACGAAATACACTAGACTAGTCTTAGCATGATGTCCCTGCATGGGCTGACCAACCCCAAGTTCACGGGGCAGATGGGTGTTGCTTCCATAGGTGCTGGAACTAGGGGTGCAGGAGGTGCTGGAGCACCCCCGTCTTGAAATGGTTTCCATCATATCCAGGGCTTACAGTTCGGTTCCATGGCTCTCAGCACCCCCACTATACAACTTGGTCCAGCGTCCCTGGTTGCCTCCGAGTTGGGGATGTCATTTCTTGGTGTAGAATTCCCAGCCTGGACCTCCTACCCAGCGCCCTGTGTAGTAGCCCAGAGAACCCAGTGTAGGTTGTAGAGATCCCAGAGACGGAGATGTGTAACGTGTATTTGCTTTTATTTGTTTAACAAAGGATTTCCTGATATGCTATAAAGGACCCTCTGACCATTGGATCAGCCTCTGGAGGGAACCGGACCAACCCTGGATGTGGACCAATGGCACTGAATTCAACAACTGGTGCGTCCCTTTTAGTTCTATTAACTCCGTAAATGTTGCAGTTCACATTTAAAACAGGAGACTGGCCTTGTGGTTAAGGGCCGGGGCTGACTTGGGAAATCGGGTTCAGTGCCTGGCTCTCCCATAGATTTGCTGTATGACGTGGGGTGAATCACTTGAGGTTGGATTTTCACGGCTAGTTGAAGCTGTTCTGATAGTTGTGTCGGGTTTTTTATTATTATTTGTTACTGTTGCAGGTTTAAAATAGTGGGAGGAGGCCTATGTGCTTTTGCATACCACGATGGTATTGCCAGTTCTTCTTCAAGTGCTGTCCCTGTGGGTACTCCACTCCAGGTGATGGTGCGTCCAGGCGCCGTTGATCGGAGATCTTCCGTAGCAGTGCCTGGTCAGGATGCAGGCACCCAACTGCTGTCTCGTGGCATTGTTAGGGTCAGCCTGAGCACGCGCATCCCGCACCACCCTCAGTTCCTTCTCAACCGTCCTCCACTGAAGATGGGACTCGGGGCAGCGCTGAACCTTTTCTCTGGTCACTGAAGGAAATAAATACAAAGACATAGAAATAGTTAGTTAGAAACATCCCACTTATTTCCCTTCCTTTAGAATAGTTACCTGGTTGAGGGGTAAAAAGTTTTTAATTCATCCTGCGTTGAGACACTCTCCCCAGGCATTCCTAGTGCTATAATGCCAGGGTCCTCAGGATTTAAGAAATGTGACTCCTGTCAGGAGCCTATGCCAATGTCCGATGGAAACTCCCGCTGTGTGAATTCCTCGGCGAGAAACACGTCCCTGCCAAGCGTGTCC